TGGGGGTTTGTGTACTGAAATTGGAAATCAGAACGGCATTCTTTAATATTTCTTTTGAGAAGACTAATTGAAAGTGCCGGAGATGATTCTAAGTCCTTTGTAGTTTCAATGGGGATATTCTTGAAAAAAAATTCAAATTCTTGTGCAACTTCCCGATTTACACTAACATGTCCATTTCCGGTATTTAAATTAATTTCCGTGTTATGCAATTTATGTCTGCCTGTCTCATTGTTAATTATTTTCCATGTAGCCTTTGTTTTATTTTCAGCGTTCTTAATCTTACGGCTAATGTAAAGAGATTTTGCTTGCTTACAGACCATTTTAAATATTTTTGCATATTTGGACACATGCTTGCTAAAGGCTTCGCTTGTATTAAATGGTTTCATACCATATAGTTCAAATAACTTTCCCCTACTTCTACGAATACCGGGGGTAGCCCAGTCACAGAATACAAATTTACATTCAATGATTTTACGTTTTAAGGGGAATAATTTATCAAATTGGGTTTTAATAATGGCCAGTAAGTTGGCATAAATCTTACTTGGACCTTCATAATCCTGTGATGGGCTGCATAATATTTGCTTTAAATTATTATGTAATGACTCAACTTTTTTATCCGTGATATGTCTAAACATTATTTCCTTTTTTGGCACCGTTGTGATGTTGTTTAAGTTTATTGTTAACCCACTGTGATCTGATGGTAAGCTATTAACAATATTTTTGTGCAAATAATCACAGTTACAAAATATATTATCTATACATGTAGCCGAGGTGGATGTTACTCGGGTGGGCTCAAGGAATACATTAGACAAATCAAAAGATTTAAAAAGACTTACTAAATTAATACAATTAGAATTGTTTTCCAAGAGATCAATATTAAAATCGCCACATACTATTGTAAATTTACTGTTCGAACACGTTTTCTGCAACACTTGTTCCATAACAGAGTTAAAAACGTTTAGGTTTTGTAAGTTTGGAGGTCTATAGACGCATATCACAACATGCCCATCCAGCTCTACACAGGACAATTCTATTGTATGTTCAATGGAAAGTGAAGTTATATCTTGTCTTTCTTTATACTTAATTGAGTTTTTTAATAAAATTAAACTACCACCATGAATCATTGCTTGACGGCTAAAGAAACTACCAACACAATAGTTTTTAAAACTCATAAATTCTACTTGATACTTCTTCATCCAATGCTCTGTTATACAAATTATGTCAAATTTAAATTTTTCTAAAAATAATTCCAATTCTAGTAATTTGGATGAAATGCCCTGAATATTTTGACTAAGGAGTGTAATATTTCCTTGTTTGTGTTTATTATATAATATGCGGCGAGAAGAAACCTTTTGATAATTTGTAGTATGAGAATTCATTAGGTTATCTTCTGTTGTCTCAAAATTTAATTTAAAAAATTATCTGGAGTGCTACCCACATTTGTCCCTAAATGTTGAGTCTCCGTCGTACTATTATATGTACAATCAATCACTACATTATTAGAATGTCTAAATAATATAGTTTCGTCACTTAATACTAGATTAATAATATTTGCTAGAAGGCTAGCAAGTAATACTTTACATTTTCTAGGAATTAACAAAGACTTCCTAGTCAATTTAAAACTACTAACAAATTTGTTAGTGTCAAAAAACAATAAATTGTCACTATGACATGTCAAACTGAATATCATATCATTTATACTATGTATTCTCTGATTCTCAGACACTGACAGAGTGTCTGAATATGGGAAAGCACATAATACTATCTTTAGAACATTATTTTTAGGTGGATTTTAGTCATAATGATCCACATACACCAATTGGTTTAATTAATCTATTGTTAAACTTGATAATTATTATAAACATGAGGTCATGTAACCTACTAAAATTAAACTAGACTTATGGAATGTAGGTACTTGGTCAGCTTGGAGTACTTACTGAGAAGAGTAGTATAACATTGAAATACTCGATACATGCATACTTAGTTATGTTAGGCAATGTTTTTTTGATGGGGAAAACAGCAAATTCCTTTCCCGGTCTGTGTGGTGCAAGGAGGAGTGTTACTCTTACTGACTAAAAACCAACCCGTTCGTTCTCCTGCTCTTGGGTGGTGCTGATGTGTGTTGTTCGTGAGGAGCCGTCACTTGAGTGATGACTGATCAATAAATTCTAGACTGTATATTTATTGTCCTTGAGGTTAATTTCTTCTTGCGATTCCTTGGCTTTATGTAAGTGTTAGGTAGACTATTCTCACATAATAGAAATGACTTAATATGTAACAAAGAATTTAATAGTGAAACTGATTGAAAAGTAGGTAGTAGGTAGCCATGGAGATTATTGCTCCTTTTTCTCCATAGGAGTTTACACTTTGGAACGAGGAAATAGTTTCTATAGAGGACAGATCGACATACTATCACGTTTTAACTCTTATATATCTCATTTGGTTTGACCCTCAAAAGTGCCTTTAATGGCCTAATTGAAATTAATGACTTGACTTGATCGTTATATCTCGCATGTGTTAAATAAAAATCGATTCTACACTCGCAGCTCGACATCACGGCAAAATTCCGAAGGTCGTAAATTCTGTAAAAATAACAAAAATAGAGCTGCCTTAACGTATTTATGTCCGTGATCTGTCGGATTTGTCTTATAGCAAAAGCAAAAAAGCCTTATCTTCCCGAAAGTGCTTTCATGTAGGGGCCACATTGTATCATCTAGCTAGTATGATAACGATAGTACGCTTACTCAAGGCGGATTCTCAGGATGTTTTCAAAGGTATCTCAATACATTTAGAAAGTACACGTTACTTAGAAAAAGTTTCGAACCCTACTACATAAGAAGCGGATGCGTCAACCTCCAGGCCACCACAACATTAAAGTTGTTAACTTTTGTCCGTTCAAAGCATGGTTCAAAGCAACGATGCATTAATCTTTTGCAAGCTCAATTCAATGTACCTACTTATACATATTTGGTTTTCATTGTTCATAGTGAACCAATTATGGACTCGGAGAGTCAAATTCCTTACGTCATCTCAATTGTATGCACAAATGTAAGTATTAGATATGTAGGCAGGAGGTACCCACGTTGAAAAACCATTTAAAAATGCCAAATATTGGTAAATATGTAGGTACTTAAAATAAAAAACCGGCCAACATCGTATCGGGCTGCGCTCAATGAAGGATTGCGCAGTTTCCCGTTTGTCACAATAACTATCACCACATATGAGTTATTGTAAATCTTAAAACCGCAATTCCCCGTAAGTAGCAAAAGTATAGCACCATCTCTTAGGAGACGGGTGATGTACGTTAAGTTTTTGTAGTAAATTTGAATTGCGTTAACCGATTCATTTTTTAATTGAAAAAAGGTACGTTTAGAATAATAAAGCTATACAAATTATTGGGTAAAACTTTTAGAAAATTTGTATTGCGACTGCATTTGTATTGATGCTATTTTATTTGGTGCTACCACGCGGGTTTTACCAACGTCAAGGTTTGTTTGCCTGACTCCAAATGCGCGAAACGTAAACAGGATAACAAACTCAAGGCAACGGTAGCGACATCTGTGTTGTGTGATATCATAATTAATTCAGCCATGGACAATAGCGAATAGTAGCAACTAGCGACAGCTAGTGTGACAAATGGAGAGTTTTGGATCACAGTAGTAGACGCAGACGATAATGCTCGCAGAAATGAGCAGTTTTGTTCCAATTGATTGCTGACACTTTTATTTTGTGCATGGTTTGTGCTTCTTGGCAAAATATCTATTTCCAAATAAATGTGGTGTGATCAATTCCTTCTTTTTTAATTTTTCTATGTGTAGCCTTACTGTCGAATTGGGAAACTCCTGTAATAACTCTAGAATGATTTATAATAAATAAATAAACAGTAATAGGTAATAGTATTAGTATTTATAGTTGAGAACGAGGAATACTCTATGGAAACGATAGGTGCAACAATCTTATATTGGCGATGCAAAGATTTTCCGCACGCCTCTAGCGGCGAAATTTAGAAACTGTCTAAGAATGACACTGTCTGTTTATTTATTGAAGTTATGTTAGATTATTCACATGGATCACGATTATAAACGGAAACCTGTTGCTAATAAACACCGAAATACGAAATATTGTTGCGTTCCTCAATGTAATATTTACGGAGATACGGGAATAAGTTTTCGTTTATTCTCAAAAGACAACATAACTTTAAGAATACGCAAGCCAATTTCACCATCAATGAGAGTTTGTTCTCATCATTTTCAAGCATTAAAGTTTTTCCAAACAGAAAGTATAATTATGTTTTAATTATTTTATTTTACATCAATTATATTTATATGTAAGTATGTATTTTATAAGTTATTCATTTAGTTTACACTAAGGTGAGCTTCTCGTCAGATAACGATATTATGGTTATTGTTCCAGATTCTAAAAGGCACAAGTTGTTTTCTTATGTCGTACCATCTCTGAATATTCCTCAAATAAGCTCTGATAAAGAAGTACCATTACAAAAAAGCACTCAAATAAAGTTTCTTCCTATGTGGCAAGTAAACCTGAGATAACCCTCTCAGGTTTACTCAATAGTGATGTGTATGTATTTATTTACTTTTACGGGTATTCATTCAATAGAACTTTTAGAAACATCGACTATTGACAGCATAATTATTGTCTTAGGGCTGATTTTTCAATGGTTAGATAAAAGTTACCCGTGGAATAATAACGATATTGTCGCGTCAGAATGTTTGTATAAGACAGTGACAGCCACAATTTTATTCCTGGGATAACATCTATTTGACTATTGAAAAATCAGCCCTTAAACAGCAAAATGCCACTTAAATCTGATTTTTATTTATATTTTATTTTTTCCCTGACGTTAATTGGTAAGAACAGTGTCGTTCTTAGACAGCTTCACAATTTTGACACTAGAGGCGCTAGTTAGAATCTTTGCATCGCCAATAGACAACTTGTCTTTTCTTTATAATATCTTTGGATAGGTGATGTATATAGTCTATGGACAATCACTCTCTCTGTCAAAATGTCAGATGTCAGTTGAGCAAACTCGGTGACTGGTCGGTGAGGTACAAGATCAGTTCCGTTCAGGAATCAAGAATTTGATAATGTGTCGCGTTTGTGTGTTCTGTAGTCAAATCAGTGAATCAACTTTATATTGTAGTGTGTCCGATGAAAGACTAATATTATTTTAATTAATCGTATGCGGAATAACTTTATTTGCCTAGGTCGTATAAGTGAGTTAGTGTGATATTTTTAGTACAAAGTATAAAATGTGTTTTAGATAAATCTGTTCAAGTGTCTGTTGGTTTGTCGTCGTGGGTGATATTTCTTATGGAACTTTAATCGTCATACTATATCCATTAATGAACATAGATTTTATCTAATAGTTTCACTGTGGACAATAATTGATACAGTTACACCTGAAGCAATATATCTCGATAGCTGTCGTCGATGGATTTTTAACAGGTAAGATCTGTTGAATTAGATTTATTCAACGCATGAAGTAAAGTAATGTATACACCGGTAGTGGATGGATGACGCCCTTTTGAAAGAGCTATTGATGAAAAAGCTGCAATAGCAGCTTTATGTTTGTTGAATCGCGTCGCCTGGTGTAGTGAGTACACCCGCCAAGCACTAGCAACTACAGTTAGACGCTAGTTAGTGCGCGGGGTCATCGACGCCGCCGAGCGCCGACGAGCAGTGCACGCCGCCACCACCGCAGCTCTATACTGTAGTACTTGCAGCTCGTTTTCCTGGAGCCTCTTAAAATAGTTGGATGTGACAGTATGCCTCATGTTAGTGACTCCACCATAGTAAACTTATATATTTTGTAAACAGTAAATTAGATAGTCCTTGATCCAGGCAGTGGGCAGCTCCAGGTTTTCCTGTCCATGAGCAGTACTTATTAGTATTTTATCTGCAAATTTAGTGTGTACCTGATATTGCACACTAATATTGAAATATGATTTGAGTTTTGTGCATTTGGTATGGAGTAGGTACAAGTTAACGTTGTGCTTTAATATGTGCCACAGCTTGTGTTGACTTTTCCATATTCAATATTAATTATTAGTTACCAAAGGTATTATAATATTAAACTTTATCTGTATAAGGTCAAATAAATTACTGATACTTGCCTAATAATATATATTTAAATGAAAACAGATTTCTAAACAATAAGTACATCTTAAAACTTGCCACTTTAACTAGATTATCCTTTTGATTTGATTAGCTATTTTTTGGTCAATTTTATTTCATGTAATATATTGAACAGAATATGTCTGAGACACCTAACTAGTTGAACAGCAAATGAATTATTATTATAGTACTATTAGTTAGTAAGGATATGTGGCAACATGGTGTCGCTACTTACAAAATTCCTGTATTCAGATGTTATTTTGTACAGAAGAAGAGGAGATCAAACTCCTCCAGCTGTAAAGAAGTAAATAAACAGAGATGGCTATGTGACTTGTAATACTTCCCCTTGTCCTTTAACAACATTTTGATTTTATAAATATAATTTGCCTTTAAACAAGCTATTCATGGAGCTTAACATATTATTTTGCATTTGCATTCAGTGGCTTAAAATTGGTGCGGCTGCCTCAAGATGATGGTGGAAACCATCCTGGAGTCCTCTCAGGACTTTGGTAAGTGTGACTGTGCACATGAAACAGTAACTATCTAACATATGCAACAGCCTGATTTAACATTAGCATCTGTTCTGCCTTCATATTGTGTATATAATTAATAATTGCTTATTTGTAGTAACTCATCATTTCCTAATAATAACATGAATTCCTTTGTATTAAAATGATGTTTGTAAATTCACAATGACAGGTCAGGTAATGTGGACACTAGCTACTGTTGTTATGTTAAACACTTTGTATTCTCCTCTAGCTGTAGGACAATTCATAGGGAAACATTTGTATAAATTGATATAACTTGTTATAAATAGTATGCTTATTTAATGAGGTAAATTTTAAGTACTTACTGGCATGGAAGAAGGATTATTAAATTGTTATTCTTATTGTGTTACATGTGTAAAATATACAATAATAAAATACAATAACAAGTGTGATAATATGTCTATGTGGTAGGCAATAGAGGGCTTTATATTTCCTGTAAGCATTGATTGTGATTACAATGTTAGTTTACATGCCTGCTGGTGTTCACATTACTACATCCCAGAGCTAACTGCATTCTTTCCCTTGTTTAGAAGTAGCTTTTTTATCTGCATTGAACAGGTAGCCCATGTCCATCTACATAATTATAACTAGGTAGCAATCTATACCTAATTAAGTTTGTAACATTTTAGATTACTGGTTTAGTAATAAAATGGGATTTCAATCTGAAAATCAAGCATCCAGGCCGAAATATTTCATTTTACTCTGTTACTAGATACCATACTACTAAATGCTTGAGTCTAGCATTTAGTCTAGCATACAAACAACTTCATTGGACTCCGTCTAGCAGCTAGACGGAGTCCAATGAAATTACATTGCATGCACTCTATGCTGTGAAGAAAAAGTCGTAGGTTGTCAGAGTGTATTTTACATCAGTGTCTTCTTACCTATAGAGTTCAATGTTATATCTAAAATGTGTGATATTATAACATCACCAGGATAATAACTACAACCTTCAAAAGTACCTGATTAACTAATGTAGCCCATAGTTCCTTCAAATTAAGTACTTAAGTCATATTTATGTAGTACATAGCATCAAGGCAGACATTGTTGATCACTTCCTTAATTAGGATAGCATGCCACAACCTTATGGAAACTCCTTAATCTGTTATCAATATCTAACAAGTGGGGTATAGAATAAGAAATGTATTGTATTTTTTAACTTGTCAATGAGTCACCACTAGTGCACGACATGTTTTGATACGCATACTGATACAGATAATAATAGTTTTTGTTACACCAAATATTGGCTATGATTTTCAAAGTAAAGGCGTTCTAATTTCTGCCAAATCTTTTTTAATTCACGTATTCACGTTACATCTGTATGAACTCCCGGATATGTTCAATTGTATTCCTAGTTACTTTAAAAATAATATCATGCTCTAAACCCTCAGGAGGCAAACAGAGGAGTGCACAAAGACACAACAGGACTTTAGTTACAGGAAAAGACATTAGTTATAGGAAAAAACAGGAAAGCAATTAATTGTTAAAATAAAATAATGCAAGTGACGAAATTGTACAGAAACGAAAGCTTCTACTAGCGATGTGACCTCACAATCCTCATATAATTTGTCCTAATCCTGAAAGAAAATAGATAGTATTTCTTTTTCTATACTTACTTATTGTTCAAATCATAATATGCTTACTATCGATATCAAAAACTTATTGTGACTTTTCATCAACATCACACTTGTTTAACCCTGGCCCCGTGTACGCAGGCATGTCGAACGGAGCCCTGCCGCAATGGAAGCGCGAGCTCCTGCAGCGGCGCGCAGCCGCCCGCAGTCGGCCGGCGCAGCCTCCGCCGCAGCCGCCGCCGCCCCCGCCGCCGCCGCCACACGACGAAGAAGACGAGGAACTTCGCTATGGACCTGGCATTGTAAAACGCCTTCAATCGCGCTACTTAAGCTTAGCGCTGCGAGACGCCCCGCGCCGCCGCCCCTCAGTGCTGCGACGCGCTACCTCGCTCGAGCACTTGCTGGATGATCGACCTCCGCCTGCGCCTGCGCCGCGTAACAACTTGCGGCCACCACGTCCTGCGTCCATGGCAGTACCACCTGCACCTTTGACAACTTCCACTCGTCGCGACTCCGTGAAACGAGCGCGTTCTGTAGACGCACTGAGTCGCTTAGACTCACGCGAGGAGCCCCGAGCACCATCGCCGTCACCTCCGCCGCCTCTTGCGCCGCGCCCACCTGCGCAACCTCGCACCGCGCGCCCTCCTCGCCGACCAACCCCATTGTTACGGGAGACGGAACGACCTCCCCCTGACGTGGTCCGCTCGACCCTACGGAAATTCGAAAGCGCGCCGACACGTCGAGCTTTGCCCGCTGTCCGCATATCTGCGGTGCTGCGAGGACTGGAAGGGCCACGGACTTCTACTCCCGAACCTCGCGAATCATCTGATGCACCGCTCAGCCCCAGAACGCCTAGTCCACTGCCGAGGACAGAAGCCATGTCCCCTGTGCCTGTTGCTGTCGCCAATAATGAAGACACAGAGAATGCGCCCTCGGGCTCCCGACCTGTATCTCGCGCTGCTCTCGATGGCATAGCCCGCGCAGGCTCTACTGTCCGTTATGCGTTCGAAGCGCCTCGAGCGGCCTCCCATTTGCCTCCGCTAGCTGCTACAAATCAAGTTCTTGTTGGTCGTGCACGTCGTGTAGGGGTCATCCGTCCAATGCCAGCGCGTGCTACCGATTCCGCTACTGATGAGTCCGTCGAAGATGTTGACGAAAAGAGCACCGAGCGTACTACCAGACTGGTGTCACCCTCCCCACCGCCACCTGCCGAGAACGAACAGACTCCGCCAGGCCGCACTGAAAGGCGAGAACCTCCTCCAGCGGCGCTAGTTGAACCAATTCCACGGCCACCACCGGAGCCCTTCCGCTCGCCCACTCCACCCACGACCTCTTTCGTTGAACGCAGTCCAAGCCCAGAAACGAAACCGAAGCTGCCTGAAATTATCACTCCACAACTAATGAATGGGCACTTGGAGCCCGAAAGCGTGCCAGAAAGTAGGGTGACCACGTCCCGTATTGGTGCAGCTGGCATCGAGCGCGCCTGGAGCGGGTCAGCGGAGAAGAAGAGCCCGGAGAAGGTGCCGGCGGGTGCGGGCGCCGCGTGGACGCGCGGCAGCCCGGCGCAGGCGCGGCGCGGCCGCGGCCCGCCGCCTGCCTCCAACTCCGTCGTGTTCAACTTCTCCAACCGCAAAGAAGTGCCCGACTACATCGAGAACGATGGTATCATCCTGCGTGCCAACAGGCGGAACCGGATCAAGGTCAGTCCTTTTGTTTTTATTTACGTTTTAGTGCACGTGGACTCATGGGAATTAATAATTATTTCTGTTGCTAAATCGTCAATAGAGAAGCCTAGAATTCGGACTGACTACAGCAATAGTCACTTATTTAATGCCGGGAATCCTTGGTGTGTCCACATTGTTCTGAGTATGCTGAGTTACCAAATGTCAATTGTACGCGCCCTTATCACGGTTGATGATATTAACAGTGTTATTCATTGTTTAACTTGAAATAGACACGTAGTACATACAAAAACGATCTTGATAATAGATTTTTGTGCCGATAACATGTCAATATTTAGATAAGCTAGATAGCAATCGTGTGGGATGGATAGGCGCTAACGCGCTAGACGGGTGGCGTATAAGATTTGCTCCTAGCGTCGCCGGTACAGAGCGGCACACTTGCACGGCGGAGCGGCGCGCGTCGTGCCCGCGCTGTGACCTCGCACTTGTACAACAGTTACCTTAACCTGCTCATCCGTTGCGCAACTGTTCGGTATGCAAATATATAAATTATTTTCTACAAACGGTGAAAGTGATAACGCAACATCTATGTGGGAGCGTCAGCTTCAAGCGCGCACGTTTCGCCTGTCAGGTGAAACCAGCGGGCGCGGCTGCGGCATTCGTTCGGTGCCCGAATCGAATACCACTCTCGATTTCATTAAAATGGCATCCGTTCGAAAGTGACCCGCGTCGCGTGGAGGCACCGAGTTGCGTTAGCTTACTGGTGTATTTGGATATAGTTCCGAAGTCCCGGCTGGGTTCGGCGTCGCTCTGGTCACAGTGGCGAGTGGGCCACGCACAGGTCCGTACCTGACATAGCTGGGCACACGAGTGCTGAGCGCTGACCCGCGTCGCCTTAGCTTTCACCGCATGCCCACGATGCGACCAGCGCTCGTTGTCGTAATCATTACTAAACTTTATTGCTTTCCAATGATCTAACGCTACGTCGATTTTAGACTTTCATTTTTGTGGATCGTAGTATGATAAGGAATTCACAAAATACTGAGACAAATAAACTTTCGCAAACTAGAACATGGAATTTTAGGATACCTTATTGTTAATAAAGTATAGAAATAGGTGATTGGGCGGGGGAATCACTCCTGAACTTTATTAGACGGCGCTGCGCTTTGGAGGATTTCACGATCAACTTATCTGTCAACATCTGCAATCGATATGACTATTGTGTTTCGATTTACGGATTGATGTAGGTACTATCTACTCAAAAAACAAAAAAAAAAAAGATTATGTCTCGTTTTGTTTTTATTTTTGAAAGGTAATTTAAAAAGTAGGTATTTATCTGGGACCACAAGATCGCAAGGGGGGGGGGGGGGGGGGTTCTCCACAAAGTCCCGTAAAAGTATGCACTAGGTAGGTGTGTATGTAGTGGTCTAGATGGTGTTACTATCTAAATGGATTTGCGAGCCGGTGAGGCAGGGGGTGGACTTGTTCATTTTGTCGGTGCGTGCGCGGGCGCAGGGAGCCTCCCACTGTACTTTACGTGGTCCCTTTGGCATGCCAGCCGCCACGCGGCAGCGTGCCTCCGGACCGGTTATTGACTAAACACTGCGACCTGCCTGCACCACTACAGCACTGATCTACTCATCTTGTGAGTTCGCATTCGACAAATTCTGATTCCGATTGCTTTGTACATAAGGTAGTAAAGGGTGGGGGCAGGGGTCACGCCCGCGAACTAGCGCTAGTGTTTACCGAGCAAACATTGACCGAGCGAATCAGTCGCGCGCTAATAAATATTAGCATTCGCTTATACTTGACACAGCGCCGGCGAGCCGTGGCTGCTATTAGGTAGTAGACCCTTGTTTGTGATTCCTGCAGCAGTCGCATCTATTCTATGTAATAGTTAGTTAGTATATAATAAACAAAATACACAAAAATATGATTTTAAAAAATCGTAAATAATTTTCATTTCATTGTGGGGACTCATTGATTCAGATATGACTTGGACTTTGGCGAATACATTGAGTTGGGCTCACAATAGAACTGGTTATTGCGGCCACCGTACTGACTCACTGACGTAAACTCGAAGCTCCTTGATTTTGATGAATCACTTCGATCCGCCCCGGATACTTCCATTTATGTTTTTATCAAGTTACCGGTTTACATATTATTATATGCACATGCACGTACGTACTATATCGAAATGTGTTTATTACGGCCATACTTGTCAGGTTAAGCACGAACCTTGTTTTTTTTTGTTTTGAGTGTGGAAAATCATCAAATGACTTATCTCGCTAAATTTAACCCACCAAACTGTTTAGGTCACCGCACCACACCGCGAAGTCTTGAGACTCCACCAACCCTTTGTAATGGCTCGACGATAATACTCTATCTTTTTCTCTCTCTTTCTCAAACGATCAATCGATTGCAGAACAATTCAATTCAATTTTATTTGCTCTTCTATTGTAATAATTACTTATTTTATATATGACAGAACGTAGCTTCCTCTTTTTCGATTCCGTCGAAAATTTCAGTTTTCAAAAGGGTTTCACCATTAAACAAATTTAAACTTCTAGTGAATGTGACAAACCTGTACAGTTATACACAATGAGTTCTGCGTGTATGGTAGAGACCATAATGCGAGCGTGTACTGCCACCGTAACGTGTGAGGTGTCATAATAAAGCAGTGCAAAACAAGGTTCTGATAATCTAACATCTAACATGCTTTCTAACTGTAACAAGAAGTAACGAATCAGCCGCACTCCGACAATAAAGGCAGGCTGTCAAAAAAATATATTCTCAGAGCAGTGCTGTGAGAGCCGGCACACACACCACCGCACCGCCACTCCTCCATTCTTCCGCGTGTTACATTTCCAACAGCAGTGTACCCTAACGTGTGGCACTGTGGATTATGTGACTGGCACATAAATATTACACATCTCGAGCTAACTGTATTGTGTGTCGCACGTGACCACGTGCCGTGCCTTTGTCGCAGCTTTCCAATCAATGACCAAACTCTACAACTCACTATGTAAGAATAAGTAAATACCCGTTTTACCCTTTAATGGTGTGTAACGAATAGTTCATACAAAGCGCTCGCGATTTGATTAATTAACTGATAGCAGACCAATCAGAGATCCGAAAGTCATAAACGCATCAATCGCATTAACGTTACTCAAACCCATACTGGACGCTCAGGTAATGTCCGACATGTCTGTATCCACAAACGGATAAGTGGAAAAGGAACGTTATTAAAATACTAGATTCTGCCAACGGCTACAGCAACCTACTCTGGTAGCGTAAGTAGTCCGTGTGTTATTCCAGACAATACAAATATTACTATGTTTGTACAACATTTCATTCAGATACATAATACGGTACAAAGATTCGCGTTAATAATATTTATTAATAGGATTTCCGTTAAATAAGACAAGGCGAAGTCATCATTATGTACAAATGTACTTACTAGTTTAGCAATATCTCTGTCTGCCTTAGGTATTGTAGCCGAAATACATATTTTGTTCTCGCAAACAAATAGTTACTTACTAGTAAATTTTTTATTTAAATTTTTTTCGTCGTTTTTCATATTGGTGGTCCGAAACACATCCAGCAACCCAACAGCAAATGTTCCCTATATAAGTATAGAACTACTTGAATTCAAGCACTGTGTTCTATGATTTACAGAACCTTCCTAATAAATGAGTTAAGGGACTCGGTTTTGTTTGGGAACCTTTCTCAGGTATCAAATAATAAATCGAGGACTAAGGCCAGTGCTGGATGGCTTCGTAAATCTCACTATATCTTAATCTACAATAAATTTGTCAAAAGCCTCGCAGTCATGTCAACAAATTGGTTTTCTTTTTCGCAATATTATGTGAGCAAGCTAGTCGTATGTTATGTACGTTGACGGCTGACTTTCCTGACTTAACACGATATTAATTACAATAAGTTTGGCTATTTTAGATAAAAGTGAAACCGGAGAGTAGGTGTGACGTAGCGCTGCCGCATGCCGCAAGGCGGGGTGACGAGACGCCAGATCAGAGGTCAGCGCGGACGCGTCATACGGCCGGCTTGAGACGCGCCGCTACCTCGGCTACTTGTTTACACATTTATTTACTTTAATCAATAGGCAGGCATACACAAGCATAGCACATTTTATTATAAACCAGCTTCGCGTTTATGACATTATCATGATAAAAGAGATATAATTAATTACTCATATCTGTATTACCCAAAGGTCAGACTGGTAGATAATGCCAACGGCATTAAGTCCGCCTATTCGGTTTTTTTTATTAAGCTTTATTGCAAACATATTTGTGCATGAAGCATTATTACATAAAGGAGTTAGCACGACTTCAACTGTCGGACCCCATCTAGACTTCATTCCCTGAGCAAAACTTTAGTGGCTGAGTAGCTCAATATAGGTACGCATTTAGAATTACAGGTGTAGTAGCTAACTCTCTTTCTTTCTCTAATAGAATCGTATGTTAGGTGATTTAATGGTTTCATCAGTTATCTTGTGGGACGTAGAAGATATTTCCGTGAAACCGCTCACACATTATTATTTTTGTAAATATTCCGTATACTATTTTTTATTTTGATTGGGTAGAGACAACAAACAGCTAAGAATAGTGTACACAGACATTATATACAAAACTTAATGTAACAATGCAGCCTACAACGTTATCCAAAAATTAACAGAAAATTATAAATATGGAAAATATAAAGTCCCAGGTGTGCAGTCTCTTTTATGCCTTTAAGGCTTAAGTAATGTCATTGTGAGGACCACCTAGAGGATACGGTGGCAGTATGCCCTGCCGGGGCTGAGCACCGCCGTGGCCTCAGGGAAGTGATCGGCGGGGGTGACCTCTCGCGCCCGGCCTTAGTCGAAGCCATGGTGCGAAGCTAGAGGAACAGTGACGCCGTCTCCTCCTTCTGTGAAGCAGTGATGCTCGCAAAGGAGGAGGCGGAGCGAGTGAGGGAACTATCCTCCTCGCGCCCCAGCCGCCGCGGTAGGCGACATT